TGTCTCGGTTGGTCGATGTTATGACTGAATATAAGGTTGTGAACTCAAGACTTCTCTGGGTTTGCTTTAAATTGGGACTGACGAAGTTATTCCTTTTGGCTGTTTATGCGCCGGTAGCTTCGTCGTTCAGGGCTGAGCTGGAGGAGTTTTGGGAGAATGTAAGGGAAGTTCTAGATTTGGTTAGGGGAAACGAAAGAATTGTTGTATATGGTGATTTGAATGGATGGGTTGGTACCGCTCGACCAGGGTACGAGTCGGTGCTTGGAAAGTTTGGCGATAAAAGAGTTAATGATGCTGGCAAGCTTATACTGGCTGTATGCAAGGAAAAGGGTCTTCTTGTGACAAACACTATGTTTAATCACAAGAAAATCCATATGTATAGAAAGAAAGAAAGAAAGAAAATAAACTTTATTGACACAGCAGTGCATGCACATATACAAATGGTTAACATTAAATTATATATTATACACTAATACTGTGCCAAAACAGGCTTCCGCTCAGCATTTGTCATGACATGCTCGCAAGGAGCATGTCAAGACGCTGGTCTTCCGCGGACACCTATTGTTGGCATTGTACATCCTTTCGAGAATAAACTAACTTAAAATGTAGTAATTATTATATGAATGTATTTATGTGACTTGGGTGTCTCTCGAAAGGGTGCACAATACGGGGACGCTTTAATGATTGTAATCATGGTTGTCAAAAAAAAAACAATGTAAAAACACAAAAGAGATAATAAAAGGTTAAAAATATTTATAATAGTGATCGATATTAAATGGAATTTTGAAATAAGCAAACAAATAAACAATCAACAACATTCCCTTAAATTACATTAAATTCTAGACTATTAAATAACAACTAAAACTAAATTAGTGGCCATTCCAACAAACATAAAAAAGAAATTGTTCCAAGTCCTAACCGAACGAACGAATCCGAAAAAGAAAAGAAAAATAAAACAGTCCAAACAAATACCATGTACCAAAGAAAGAAAGAATGAGAGAAGTATGATCGATTTGTTCCTGGTGGATGACCGACTGCGAAAACAGGTGATGGATACGCGAGTGTTCAGGTGTGCTGACCTGGGAACGGATCACTATCTAGTGATTACTAGATTTAGGGGTCTGTTCGCGGGTTGGCGCTACCGGACGGCAGTAACAGAACCACAGTCGGTCAGTCGCATCCGAAGCTGGAAGCTTCAGGAAGCGGATACTAGGGACAAATATCATGCGAGGGTAGCCGAAAAGCTTGCCACCATCGATGGCAGAAAATAATGTGTGGAAAGAACATGGCAGAACCTTAGGGATGGAATGGTAAGTGCAGCGGAAGAAATGTGTGGAACGATAAAAAGAGATAGTAGTAAAAGAAGAGCTGCACGGTGGAATGATGAAGTGAAAGGAGCTGTAAAGAAGAAGAAGAAAGCATGGTTAGACTACTTGGCCTCTAGTAATGATAAGGATATGAGAGAGAAGATGAAAGAAAGATATAAGCTGTAGAAAGTTCACACGAAAGCATTGATTGAGGAAGTGCGTGAAAGGTGTAGAATGGAAGCGGATGAAAGGTTGTCGCACACACTTTAAGGAGAACTCCAAACTCTTCTGGAAAGAGGTTGGAAGGACCCGAAGTGGTGCGACGGCCTTAAGAATGAACAAAGTGCTTTCGAGAACCAATGACGTCCTCTCAGAAAAATCGGACGTCATGCAGCGATGGAGCGAATTTTATAGAGAAATGTATGCGTGTGATGATCTTAGTGAGGGATCCGGGGATGACGCCGTGACTGGTACGCCAGACCCGGACCTCCATGACACTGAGGTCATCAGTATGAAAGAGATTGAACGTGCGATTCGAAGTTTGAAATGTGGTAAGGCTGCGGGACTAGACAGAGTTACTGCTGAAATGGTCAAGTATGGTGGGCCTCGCGTCTGGGACAGCTTTCATCTGCTGTGCAATTTGTGCTGGCGGACGGGGGATGTCCCGGATGATTGGCGATCCGCAGTCATTGTGCCTTTATATAAAGGTAAAGGTTCACATTTTGACTGCGATAAAAGCTGTGAAGGTGCGAATTCAAAGAAATCCCAAACGTAAGCAGAAACTGTTGGTCCTTCAGATGGGGTTAAGCAGAACCACGGTGAAAAGGGTGTTAAATGAAGACTTAGGGCTTCGGGCATATGGAAGAAAAACAGGACATCGTTTGAATGCTCGTCTAATGGACCTGAGACTGAAGAGATGCCGCGCTTTGTTGAAGCGGTACGCGGGAAAAAATATCGGGAAATTCTTTTTTCGGATGAAAACATTTTTACCGTAGAAGAGAGCTACAACAAACAAAATGATAAGGTGTACGCACACAGTAGTGAAGAAGCGAGCAACCGTATTCCGCGTGTACAACGAGGGCATTTTCCATCCTCGCTCATGGTATGGTTGGGAGTTTCTTATTGGGGCTTAACAGAGGTATATTTTTGTGAGAAACGTGTAAAAACTAATACAGGTGTGTATCAAAATACAGTCCGGACGAACCTTGTGGAACCTGTTTCTCATACCATGTTCAATAACAGGCACTGGGTATTCCAACAAGATTCGGCGCCAGCTCATAGAGCGAAGAGCACACAAGACTGGCTGGCGGCGCGTGAAATCGACTTCATCCGGCACGAAGACTGGCCCTCCTCCAGTCCAGATTTGAATCCGTTAGATTACAAGATATGGCAACACTTGGAGGAAAAGGCGTGCTCAAAGCCTCATCCCAATTTGGAGTCACTCAAGACATCCTTGATTAAGGCAGCCACCGATATTGACATGGATCTCGTTCGTGCTGCGATAGACGACTGGCTGCGCCTGTATTCAAAATCACGGAGGTCATTTTGAATAAACTTTAGTGTCATAAGAATCTATGTTTTGTTAAGTTCATTTTGGTATATAAATGGTTACATAATGAATAAACTTGTTTTAATTATTTTATATTAAACATGTGACAGAATTTATGACCTGACTAGGTATATCATTATTTGCAATATTATTAATGTCTAAAGAGCTGAAGCTATTTTTTTAACTCTAAAATAAACTCTTCTTGATGGGAAATAAATGTATTTTTACCTACTCTTCCTATTGTTTTTCTAATTATTTGATATCTGTGAATTTTTAAGTCGAATTTCAATTTTGCGCGTAATCTATGGTCAGAATGGAATTTGAAATTATTTAATACTTCTAAATTTTTCAATAGTCATTCCTCTTACTTCTGAAAGTCATATACTATGAGGTAACACAGATAATAAAAATAAATAGTCGAATTGAGTACGTCTTCCTTTTTGAAGTCGGTTAAAATAAGTTAAATGCGATAAAATCCGTAAAATTTGCTGTATTCCATAATAATATGGTATTCATAAATTGAAGAGACAAAAGGCTGGTCTCGTCTATGGCAGAAGAGACAAGTTTTTCAGCAGACGTTACAGACTGCGCCCTAGGCTTAAGGCTTAACTCCAAGGGCTTGTAGATCGCCTCACATTGTATGCGATCTATCTGTATTCAATCCTCGCTAGTCATTAACATTCTTTAGGCTAAGAGCTTACAGAGCGATGTTTACCCGCGCCCGCAGCATAAGAGGATGTAAAATTTGTAAAGTTTAGTGTGGATTCTTTTCAGCCGTGGAGGTAGTAACGTCAACAAACTTTGCGTGAGTGATCAAGGTTTTCTACAGGATGCATTTCGGAGTGTGCTCAGGAATTGCATCCTGCATCCTGCCTCTCCCTTCCAACATCGGACAACCAGACTCGAGACAGTCTCCAGGTATATAAAAAGTACTCTGTGCCAGTCTCCATTTTTTTGTTGTCGACTTGCCGCGCATTCGAAGTAAACGGTTTGCTTCATCGTTTGTCATGCGTACATCAAAGAAGTCGATTAAGTAGCCAGCATCTGTCTTTCCATTCGATTACAATGTTTTCAAGGCAAGAGTGAGCCTTTGTTGAGTCATCAGCTTGGATAGTAGTTAGAATAGTAAAAAAAGATCGGGCGTAAGGCGGATTATTTGCGATGTAGCGATTGTGGTGACTTTATTACTGATCGATTCGAGATCGATTGGTAATAAAGTCACCAGGGCGCCGTGTACCCGCGCTTCCCGCGGCCTACGATCGCAGAGCGCGCAAACAACCGTACAAGCCACGGTTATAAATTCCATCGTGGAATTAGCTTTAGTGAAATACCTTCATTTCTTACATTCTACGCGGGGCGCGTTCCCGCCACCGCTGCGGGCGCGGGTAAATATCGCTCCATGAGTTGAACTTTACCCTCAGAAATGTTATGCACACAAACTAATACATAATTATTTATATATAAAGCTATCACTATTGCTATAATTATTTTTAAAGTTAGAAATAAAACTCAATTCAAATAATAAAGAGCGTATATTTAAAATTATTAATTATTTATATTTTACACGAGTATAACTTATGTTTTTGCTTAGCTGTACAAAATTATTCTAATGTTATTTAAATGTATAATATATTTTAACAGTGGTAGAGCCACGCGGCAGCTTTTGCTGTCGCACGGATGGGCCGGCTCGAACCGGGGTGGTCCCACGACCTCACAGAAAACCAGCGTGAAGTAGAGGTTTACCTCTGCGTTTCGCTTGGTGAGTGCAGGTGGCCGGAGGCCCTTATTACTGGAAATGAGGCATTCCACCTTAGTCCTCATGGGTGACAACGCATCTACATTTTGATTTGTAATAGAGGATAGATGTAGATGTCTATGGGCCGCAGCAACCACGTACCATCAGGTGGACTGTGTGCTCGTTTGTCACCCCTATCCTATAAAAAAAATGTAATATAATGGAATCATTCGAATTTAGCTTAACAATAAATAATAAGTACACTATCTGTACTTTATCTAGACTTCAGTCTTGTTCATTTAGGTCTCGCGGCCGGTGCCTTGTGGACTACACAAAGACTTCACAGCTTCAATTCGCCAAGAATGACAGTTTTCTGCGCGGTAGTATTTGTATCGGGTGTCAGTCGGTCTCAGAGTGGGTCACTTCTCTTGTGGGCTCGCAGTGGACCGGCTACGCGGAAGACTGTAGGTATCAGCGACTGAAAATCAAACGGGCATTTTTTTAATTATTGACGTGAATACGTCTTTAGCTTTGCTTCCATAGTGGAAGTCAATTCAGAAAGCTGGTGATAACCACCTCGGGGGATACAGTTGCTGTTTCAGCTGCATATCTATTATTTATTTATTTATAAGGCTCACCGACAGATGATACACAAAAACTAAAAACCAGATACAAGCATTGTGAGAAACATGTTATGTGCTCACCCAGTTATAGGTAACCACAGCTGACACAGAGTAATGTTACGGAAAGTTAAATAACGTAAAATTTAATAGTATTGCACCATTATTGCACAGTTTGTAGAGGAAGCTCAAATCCAAAAATTTGCGCCTGTTATATAAGGAAGATATACGGAAATATATCTATATCATATAAGTTGATTATAGATATATCTATCATCAACATCCAAAGTTTTGGCTTAATGGCTATAGTTCTAAAATTTGTGCTCATAAGTTGACATTAGTCATTTATTCCATTAATAACAAAATACATTGTGTTGGCAATTACAAGTTAATTCAATAAGATTTAAAAAATAACTACATTTATGCAATACTCAATCAAATATCCACATCAAAATAATAAAATTACAATAATAGGTAATAATATAATTACAATAAAGAAATATGTCAAAAATATAAAATTACAATAAAGAAATTAAAAAAAAATGTCTTCTTAGCTGACGCGCTTGTTCCGCTTCACATTTAGGACTGAAATAGTGCCAAGATCCTGGAAGGTGGCCAGTGTGTAGCTAAAGGATCAAAGAATTCATTGCGTTGTGTGAGGACTGGAACGCCGTCATCTTGAGGTAGTTTCGTTACGTACACGTATTCATGTAAACACATGGCCGTGTCCACGATACAGCCACACCCTGAATTTTCATTATTAATTTATAGTAGTACTTGCGCAGATAAAGAATAAGATTATAAATGATGTCTCATCTATTCACCTCTCGCCTGCACACTGCCGATGTTTATACTGACACCCGCTGGTAATAATCACAAAAAAATAACGTAATGTAAAGTTTTTGTGCTTCTAATTTCAAAACCGAGTAAAAAAACATAAATGTTCAATATACTTTTTTTTAAGTATTAATTTGAAATATGAAGTATGAATTATTAAATTACTAAAAATAAATATTATTTGTTTTTCTTATTGATTGATTTACATTCATAATTAATATTCACTTAATAATTTCAGTAGAAAATTCAATTAAATTTAGTAATTTTTTTTTCCAATAACTAAAAATTTCCAAACAATTTACGAATATAACGTTTTAATTAATATAATATAGTTGTTTGTAATATAACGATATAACGTTATAAGCACCGCTTTCGGTTTATGTACCGTGTATGCTGACAGTACAGGCTCGGCGATACGCTATTTCTAATCCCATTTTTTATCCGCACGAGTAGTAAATCCTCAAGGCTCCAGTACACGTTGGACGAGCACGCTTGGCGAGCCCGCTCGGCAGATTTTCGTGTCGCCGTTCACACGTTGTCACGTTGGCGTGCTTCATTCTGCGTTGGTAGCTAGATGATGATGGACGTTAGTGATCGCGGCCTTATTTTTATGTTGCTCATGTTTGGGGTTCCGTATAACTGATTCATTGTGATAAGAATCAATGAACCTAAACATTTCCTCATTAGGCCATGTCGCCATGTTCGTGAAATAATTTTATTAAGCCGTAAAGCCTAACTATGAAATGAACGTGTGATCGCTATTTGCGGCTTGCGCCAAATTTCTTTGATTTGTGCACGGAAAACCGACACTATACGGCTTGTCTGCGAGTGTTGGCCGCAAACGCCAAATACACACAAAACGGCGCTGTACACGTTGGCCGAACGCACTGCGAGCGCGTTCGGCCAACGTGTACTGATATTCTCGTGGGTTCTATCGCCAAGCAGTGCGTGAATGATGTTGAATAGGAATATGATCTCTTTTTGATAATGAAATGCAGTAATTTGTTCAGTCAACCTGTACTTGATCTCTAATTTCAATACAAAGAGAAGTACAATTTTTTTAAGCATAACCCGACACAACTTAGGAGCTAGTATTGTCATGAAAACTGCTAATGTAATTTCTCAGGCACTTCAACAGATGTGAAGGGTAAAAGAGAGCCAGTATAATTACTCACATGTGACAACGAGTCCTTTTTCGTTTGAAGTTGCCTGCAGGTATCAATGGATTGCAGTAGCCTCTTACCAGCAGGTGCATTGTATTTCTTCTACCGACTTCAAAAAGGAGACGGTACTCAATTCGATTGTATGTTATTTCTTTATGTGTTACCTTGCAACTTTTTACTGGGTGCACCGATTTCGATGATTTTTTATTTTATTTAAAAGCTGGTGCTTCATGTGGTCCTATATAAATGATCAAGGTCTGACCAATAGTTATTGAGTTTTTTTAAATAATAATTTATATTGAAGTCGGTTGCACAAAATTTTTAATTTTAAATTACATAATTACGCGGAGGCGGGCAGCACGGCGTGCAGCGTGCGCAGCTCGTACTGTGTACTGTGCACAGAGTAGCACCTGTGCAGAGCACACACACACACACACACACACACACACACACACCTGCACGGCGGTGAAGAGCACGGGCGCGGAGGCGGGCAGCACGGCGTGCAGCGTGCGCAGCTCGTACTGTGTACTGTGCACAGAGTAGCACCTGTGCAGAGCACACACACACACACACACACACACACACTCACCTGCACGGCGGTGAAGAGCGCGGGCGCGAAGGCGGGCAGCACGGCGTGCAGCGTGCGCAGCTCGTACTGTGTACTGTGCACAGAGTAGCACCTGTGCAGAGCACACACACACACACACACACACACACACACACACACACACACACCTGCACGGCGGTGAAGAGCGCGGGAGCGGAGGTGGGCAGCACGGCGTGCAGCGTGCGCAGCTCGTACTGTGTACTGTGCACAGAGTAGCACCTGTGCAGAGCACACACACACACATACACACACACACTCACCTGCACGGCGGTGAAGAGCGCGGGCGCGGAGGCGGGCAGCACGGCGTGCAGCGTGCGCAGCTCGTACTGTGTACTGTGCACAGAGTAGCACCTGTGCAGAGCACACACACACACACACACACTCACCTGCACGGCGGTGAAGAGCGCGGGCGCGGAGGCGGGCAGCACGGCGTGCAGCGTGCGCAGCTCGTACTGTGTACTGTGCACAGAGTAGCACCTGTGCAGAGCACACACACACACACACACACACACACACACTCACCTGCACGGCAGTGAAGAGCGCGGGCGCGGAGGCGGGCAGGACGGCGTGCAGCGTGCGCAGCTCGTACTGTGTACTGTGCACAGAGTAGCACCTGTGCAGAGCACACACACACACACACACACACACACACACACACACACACACACACACACACACACACACACACTCACCTGCACGGCGGTGAAGAGCGCGGGCGCGGAGGCGGGCAGCACGGCGTGCAGCGTGCGCAGCTCGTACTGTGTACTGTGCACAGAGTAGCACCTGTGCAGAGCACACACACACACACACACACACACACACACACACACACTCACCTGCACGGCGGTGAAGAGCACGGGCGCGGAGGCGGGCAGCACGGCGTGCAGCGTGCGCAGCTCGTACTGTGTACTGTGCACAGAGTAGCACCTGTGCAGAGCACACACACACACACACACACACTCACCTGCACGGCGGTGAAGAGCGCGGGCGCGGAGGCGGGCAGCACGGCGTGCAGCGTGCGCAGCTCGTACTGTGTACTGTGCACAGAGTAGCACCTGTGCAGAGCACACACACACACACACACACACACACACTCACCTGCACGGCGGTGAAGAGCACGGGCGCGGAGGCGGGCAGCACGGCGTGCAGCGTGCGCAGCTCGTACTGTGTACTGTGCACAGAGTAGCACCTGTGCAGAGCACACACACACACACACACACTCACCTGCACGGCGGTGAAGAGCGCGGGCGCGGAGGCAGGCAGCACGGCGTGCAGCGTGCGCAGCTCGTACTGTGTACTGTGCACAGAGTAGCACCTGTGCAGAGCACACACACACACACACACACACACACACACACACACACACACACACTCACCTGCACGGCGGTGAAGAGCGCGGGCGCGAAGGCGGGTAGCACGGCGTGCAGCGTGCGCAGCTCGTACTGTGTACTGTGCACAGAGTAGCACCTGTGCAGAGCACACACACACACACACACACACAACACACACACACACACACACACACACACTCACCTGCACGGCGGTGAAGAGCGCGGGAGCGGAGGTGGGCAGCACGGCGTGCAGCGTGCGCAGCTCGTACTGTGTACTGTGCACAGAGTAGCACCTGTGCAGAGCACACACACACACACACACACACACTCACCTGCACGGCGGTGAAGAGCGCGGGCGCGGAGGCGGGCAGCACGGCGTGCAGCGTGCGCAGCTCGTACTGTGTACTGTGCACAGAGTAGCACCTGTGCAGAGCACACACACACACACACACACACTCACCTGCACGGCGGTGAAGGGCGCGGGCGCGGAGGCGGGCAGCACGGCGTGCAGCGTGCGCAGCTCGTACTGTGTACTGTGCACAGAGTAGCACCTGTGCAGAGCACACACACACACACACACACACACACACACACACACACTCACCTGCACGGCGGTGAAGAGCACGGGCGCGGAGGCGGGCAGCACGGCGTGCAGCGTGCGCAGCTCGTACTGTGTACTGTGCACAGAGTAGCACCTGTGCAGAGCACACACACACACACACACACACTCACCTGCACGGCGGTGAAGAGCGCGGGCGCGGAGGCGGGCAGCACGGCGTGCAGCGTGCGCAGCTCGTACTGTGTACTGTGCACAGAGTAGCACCTGTGCAGAGCACACACACACACACACACACACACACACACACTCACCTGCACGGCGGTGAAGAGCACGGGCGCGGAGGCGGGCAGCACGGCGTGCA